CAATTAGTTACAGTTAATTGGGTACAGTTAGTAGTTACAGTTAGTTACAGTTACAGCTAGTTACAGTTACAGTTAGAGTTGAACACGATTACATCATCTGTTTCAGACCTTCAAGTCAAAGAAACACATCTGTCTGTCTGACGGGAAATACTCCATCATCCGTCAGTCATCCATCCATCATCAGTCCATCATTCATCCATCCATCCATCCATCCATCCATCCATCCATCCATCCATCCATCCATCCATCCATCCATCCATCCATCCATCCATCCATCCATCCATCCATCAATCCATCCATCCATCCATCTATCCATCATTCATCCATCTATCCATCATTCATCCATCCATCCATCTATCCATCATTCATCCATCCATCATTTATCCATCCTTCATCCATCATCAGTGTTTTCTCAGGGTCATTGGGTACTGGCCTTTGTCTCCAGCCATCACTGTGTGACAGGCGGGGGACACCTGGACAGGTCTCCAGTCCATCTCTGGGACAAATAGAGACGAACAGGTTTCTGCTTTTGTGTTGGATGTGAAGTTGATCCATTTCGTTCTGACAGCTGATGTTTGGATTTATCTTTATTTCCATCAGCAGTGTTGAGTTTAAACACAAACTGTAATATATGTTTGAACTGGAAGATCTCATCTTCACGGTTCTGATCAATGACAGCAGAAGCAGGTGGAGCAGGTAACTTTATAAACCGTCACTCGATCCGTTCCGTCTTTTTATCAGGGAACAAGAAGGTCCACCTCAGAGATCAGAACAGAGGCCCCATCATCCAGGAGGAGCTGATCCTCCTCATGGACAGGAGTCAGCTAAGGAGGTTTAGACACCTGATCACATGTGTGTCGGGAACCACCCAGGTGTAGGGACAGGTGTGTGCCGGGAACCAACTAGGTGGAGGAACAGGTGTGTGTCTGGAATCAACCAGGTGAAGGGACAGGTGTGTGCCAGGAACCAACTAGGTGGAAGGACAGGTGTGTGTCTGGAACCAGCCAGGTTAAGGGAAAGGTGTGTGCTGGGAACCAACCAGGTGAAGGGACAGGTGTGTGTCTGGAACCAACAAGGTGAAGGGACAGGTGTGTGCCGGGAACCATCTAGGTGTGTGCCAGGAACAAACTAGGTGGAAGGACAGGTGTGTGTCTGGAACCAGCCAGGTTAAGGGAAAGGTGTGTGCTGGGAACCAACCAGGTGAAGGGACAGGTGTGTGTCAGGAACCAACCAGGTGAAGGGACAGGTGTGTGTCTGGAACCAATCAGGTGAAGGGACAGGTGTGCGCCGGGAACCAACCAGGCGAAGGGACAGGTGTGTGTCTGGAACCAACCAGATGAAGAGACAGGTGTGTGAGGAATAGATGATGTTTACCTGATTTAAACGAAATAACCCATTTGATGTTTTTCGTTAGTTTGTTTACATCCTCATTGCTTGTTGCTTGTTTCTTTCTGAGTGTTTCCATTTATTTTGTCTTTCTCTTGAACTCTCCTGGTTTTTTTAAACACAATTTAATCATCTTTAAACTGGATTAAATCACCATTAACCCTAATTTAATCATCTTGAAACCGGATTAAATCATCTTTAAACCCAATTTAGTTATCTTTAAACTGGATTAAATCATCTTTAAATCCAAATCTTTAAACCCAATTGAATTTTTTAAAACTTGATTAAATCATCTGTAAACACAAATTAATTATCTTTAAACAGGATTAAATCATCTTTAAACCCAATTTACTCATCTTTAAACTAGATTAAAACATTTTAAAATTGGATTAAATCAAATTTAAACCCAATTTAATCATCGTTAAATTGGATTAAATCATATTTAAACCCAATTTAATAATTTTAAAACTGGATTAAAGCATTTAAGCATAGTAATCTGGAAACATTAGAATTGTAAACTATATTTAAATATTGTTACACTCTATCAGGTCTGTAAGAATGATTTTATTTATGATCTAAATCATATGCGTCAAACTCAAGGCCCGGGGGCCAAATGTGGCCCTCGTTGACATCTTATCTGGCCCCCAAGATGTTATTTAAACATTAAATACTTTTATCTCTTGAATTTTTTTCACTAATCTTTGATTATGATGTCGAAAGCACAACATACAACATCAAATGAGACCAATCAAACTATTGTTGAGGAACCTAACCAAGACAAGATGTTGGGTATTTGATTTGAGTTAATGTAGTTTCTGAAATTGGCCCTTAGTTTGAAAAAGGTTTTAATTTTGGCCCCCTTTGTAAGTGAGTTTGACACCCCTGATCTAAATATTTTAGTTCTGCCTAGTCTGAATGACAGAAGAGTTAAAACCAGACACAGGAAACTGAAGCCTCAGAGCTCGAGCGCCTCATGGTGGTCGGCTCCAGGACTATTTTAAGCCCCGCCCTCTTCAAGTGAACTAACAGGATATTTTCCTCATTAAAAGACAAAACTTCAGATATTTTTGCAGGCATTCATTTTG